TCCATCCATCCATCCATCCATCCATCCATCCAATAAACAGTTCATCCATCCATCCATCCATCCATCCATCCATCCAATAAACAGTTCATCCATCCATCCATCCATCCATCCATCCATCCAATAAACAGTTCATCCATCCATCCATCCATCCATCCAATAAACAGTTCATTCATCCATCCATCCATCCATCCATCCATCCAATAAACAGTTCATCCATCCATCCATCCATCCATCCAATAAACAGTTCGTTCATCCATCCATCCATCCATCCATCCAATAAACAGTTCATCCATCCATCCATCCATCCATTCATTTCTAACACTGAATGTTTATTTTTGTAGTACTGGCATGCTGTTTAAAGTACTTTTTGTTTGGACACTAAATAAATTTCAAAATAAAACCATTTCTGAGTATTTTACTGAGGTCAAGTGTCCAAACTTCTCCTTTCTTTGTCCCGCTGCTGTTTACACCAAAAGAACCTAATTTTAACTCTGGATTGACCCAATAATCCCTTTGTACCTTCAGATTACACAGATTGACTCACCTGTTTACATCCACACGTGTCTTCTTTTTGTATCTTGGTTTTTCCAAACAAAATGTCCACCTTTTCTTTGATCTTCTTTTCTGCAGTAAAAACTGAATCAAAGTGACCCAGACAACTAATGTGCCTCAGCTCTTTCTCTCTTTCTGTTTTTCTGTTTGAGTGCAGCACTCTCAGCCGCCTCACCTAAACCTGTTTTACCTGCTGACACTCCCTCTCTCTCTGTTTATTCTCTATTGAGCTCGCCCACAGGTGCAGCTCACCTGACTGCTCCTCCCCTTGTTGTTTCTGCTGTGTTGTCATGTTTCTGTTCTACAATCTCAAGCATTTTTTCATTTCCTCTTTTAAACCATCTGATTAATATTAATTATTGGAGACAAACTAGGTCAGAAATCTTTTAGTTTGAAAGTTTTTAGTCTTATTTTTTTATTCTTACTTTACTGATTTAGTTCTACGACTGCAGTGGTTGGTCACTTTGCCAACTGTGATTTATTTTGTTGTGTGAATGTGTTGAACCTGTTGTGTTCTCACCTGTTCAGCTGTCCCACTGGAACTTTTTCAGGACTGAACCAACACAAAGTTCTGCAGACAATTGTTGAGAAAAATCCTGCAGTGAACTCAACTCTGAAACCAGTTGGACAGAAACTGCTCGTTTCTTCCTTCATTCCTTCCACTTCCAGCTCAGAGCTCCACCCTCAGCTAATGATGAGTAACAAACTRACTGGTTTTTCTCCAAGGCATGACGTCTGTCATTCAGCTGACATTGTTCAGATTTTTGTCTTTACTGTATATAAAAGATAAATAAACATAAAGTCATCAAAAAGCTCTGAAACAGAAACAGAAACACTGCCCCCTGCAGTTCAATACAGGAACTGAAGAAAGATTTTAAACTTCTCAACTTTTATTTGTTTATTTATTTATAAATGACTCAAAACCCGAATTTTATCAATCTCAAGCCAGACTTAGGAGCACATTTAGTCATAATTATTTACTTATGGTACAAATATATATAAAACAGGTACAAAAATGCTTCACACTACAATCTATGTCCTCATTTAGCCATTCACACGCAGACTCACACACAAACACATTTAGCCATTCACACACAGACTCACACACAAACACATTTAGCCATTCACACACAGACTCACACACAAACACATTTAGCCATTCACACACATCTTTTCATTCACACAGCACTCTGCTGGGTCACTACAAAGCTACCAGGTACAATCATCCATGGAGACTAATCAGTGCCAATCACAT